AGTCCCCGTGGAGTGGCTGATAGTTGGGTTGACTAATCACAGTGTAGAGGCAAACATTTATTTTAAAGTACCTTAAGTGACAGGGTGGCTTTGTGAATTGAGTGTGAACATTAGTACCCAGTAGACTTGGTTTTAAATTATATTTTGTTCTTTCTGTGTGGCTTTAAGTTAGTCACAGTTACTCTGTCCCAGTTCCTGGGATGAAGTTAGCCATTACTAAATGGAGATTTTAAAACTGCTATACTACTTAAATGAAAATACCTTTATTTATAGAGTTTTAATTTGTGTGTGTGCCTGTGTGGACTTGAACTCCAGGCCTTGGAATCTCGCTTGACTTTTTAGCTCAAGACTGGTGCTTTATTACATGAACCATACCACACCTACCTTTTTGCTAGTTAGTGGAGATAACAGTCTTATAGATTTGTCTGCCAACCTGGTTTTGGACTGTGATCCTCAGATCTCAGCCTCCTGTGTAGTTAGGATTATACGTATAAGCCACCAGCACCCAGCTTAATTTATATCTTTCATAGTTAAACTTCTTTAAAAACTTTTCCTTCAATGTAGTATAATAAATTTTATTCTCATTGTTTTCTATTGTTTAGTAAGAATCCTGGTATGACTATTGATGTATTGATATCCTGGTATAATATAGCAAGACTTTTGTTTTGTTTTGTTTTTTGTTTTTTTGGGGGGTCTGAACTCTGGGCCTGGGTGCTGTTCCTCAGCTCTTCATCTCAAGGCTAGCACTCTACCACTTGAGCCACAGCGTCACTTCCAGCTTTTTTCTTTTTGCTTATGTGGTGCTGAGGAATTGAACCCAGGGCCTCATGCATGCTACCACTGAGCCACCTTCCCAGCCCAAGACTTTTTTTGGGGGGGTCAGTCATGGGGCCTGAACTCTGGGCCTGGGTGCTGTACCTCAGCTCTTCAGCTCAAGACTAGTGCTTTACCACTGAGCCACCTTACCAGCCCCTAGCAAGACTTTTTTTTTTTTTTGGTCGATTGTGGGGCCTGAACTCTGGGCCTGGGCGCTGTCCTCAGCTCTTCAACTGAAGGCTATCACTCTACCATTTGTGCCACAGTGCCACTTCCTGCTTTTTCTGTTTATGTGGTGCTAAGAAATCGAATCCAGGGCCTCATGCATTCAAGGCAAGCACTCTACCACTAAGCCACCTTCCCAGCACTAGCAAGACTTTTAACTGAGGGAGAATCAATGAAAAGTTTTGCTGAAAACATCTGTGTTACTACTGTATACTCTGGCTGGAACTGTGATTTCTTCCGGGACTTGAAGTTCTCTTCCAAGCCTACTAGTTGTTGGTAGAATGTGGTTTGCCTAATGGTAGGACTTTCCCCTATTTTCTTGCCACTGTAACTTCCAGTACCCAGAGGGTGCCTTCTATATGTCCTCTTCATATGTCTTCTAACAGTGCAGCATCTTTTTTGAAGGGTTGACTGTAGACCTTCTTAGGAATGGCCCAATTCCTCTTATAAGAGCTTTCTCTGATTAAGAAAGGACCTAGGGATATTATCTTTCTTGATAAATGTAAAGGCGACTAATTCAGAATCTTTATTATTTTTAAAATCTCTCCCATTTTGAGATACAATTTAACTTAATAACCAGAATAGATACTATCATAACATTTTTTTCCTTTGCCACATACAAGGGATTGGGGAAGGATTATAACAAAGAAGTGGGGACAGCTTATACCACATATATACACAAAAATATTTTATTTTATCTTGAGGGTTTGTCCCTGTTTTCTTTGTTGGTAGCAGTAATGTGGAAATTGAACCCTCACATTCTCTAGACAAGTATTCTTCCACTTTTAGGCACACCTAAAACCAGCTTTGTGCTGTTTCTTGCCTTTTTAATCAAGGCAAACAGTCTACCACTTGAGCCATGCTTCAAGTTCTGGCTTCTTGCTGGCTAATTGAAGATAAGTGTCTCATGGAGTTTTCTACTTGGGCTGGCTTTGAATCTCTGTCCTCAGATCTCAGTCTTTTTGAGTTGCTAGGATTACAGGTGTGAGCCACAAACACTGGCTTACACTGGTTATTTTTGAGGTAGAGTTCTGCTTTATGCTTAGCTGTGGTCCTTCTATCGGGCTTTCTAGAGTCACTGAGGGGAGCAAGCAATGAATGCTTCCTGCCCAGCAGTTGCGCTCCCTCTATAGCTCTGTTAAGATTTGCATGCCACCACTGGCGGGCCAGCCAAGATCTTCCATCCCTGCCTCCCAAATAGGATTAAAGGAATGAGCTTCTCGCTTGTTCCAGACTTAACTATACAATTTGAATATAACTACTTTGAACTATATTATTTGTTCTTTTATAGACAAGTGGAGGAAGTTATTGTGAATAGGAGAGGATATGCTTGATAATTATTAAGAGAACCCAGGGTGCCAGTTTTTATTTATATATTACTGAAAAGTTAGATTTTTAAGTAGCAAATTGAAAAGATGAAACCTGACCCTGGTTTCTGTTTTTCTAGCTAGCTACTTGGGACTTGTGATTTATAAGACTCATTGGGCACGATTGTAGAAGGCTAGAAGCTTGACTCCACCTTGACAGAGAGCCTAAGTGTGAAGCCCTGAGTTCAGTTCCTGGTAATGCTAACACACAGTACAAGATTTCTTACTGTATAAATAAAAGTATTGCAGGAGTGCAGAAAGATGATTCAACCTACTTAAATAGGCCATTTTGAGAGAAGATTGAGTTGAGAAGTCAGGAATGTAAAATAAATGTCTCCTAATAAAATCTTGCTTTTTTTAATTTAAATTTTATTGTTAAGGTGATCTACAGAGGTGTTACAGTTATATAAGTAAGGTAATGAGTACATTTCTTTTTAAACAGTGTTACCCCCTCCTTCGTTTTCTCCCACTTACCCCACCCCTTTCCCCCCTAAGTCTTACTGTTATCTTCAGATAAGACTGTGTTCTAATTTTTGCATATTTTATACCATTTAAATATTATACTATAGTTGGCTGCTTCTATCTGTTTGTTTTTATGCCAGTCTTGAGGCTTAATCTCAGGGCCTGGTGCCATCCCTGAGTTTTTTTGTTCAAGGCTAATTAATGCTGTACCATTTGAGCCACAGCTTTACTCCCAGTTTTTGGTGATTAATTGGAGACAAGAATCTCATGGACTGTGGACTTTTGTGTCTGGGCTGTCACTGAACAGTGAGTGATTTTCAGATCTCAGCTTCCTAAATAGCTTAGAGTTATGGGCATTAGCCACCAGTATCAGGCTTTTGTTTTGCTTTTTAATTAGAATATGATCATTAAACATAGATGAGATCCATGTTTTACTCTTTGTATTTTCTTTCCCTTAGATAAAACTCTTGGCTTCTGGGAAGCAGTCAATAGATATTTCTTGATTCAGTAATGCATACTTCCTCATAGTGATAATGGATACTGGGATATTTATTTTTGTGGTGGAGAGATAAGCCTTAGCTTATGTCCAGAACATTTTATGTAACAAATTAACAAATAACTAAAGTTCCTGTCCTTATGTGTTTTGATTTTACTGGAAATATTTTTACTCTTACCAATAGACCTGGCTATTTCCCAAGTTAATAGCAAACCAGCAATAAAATTATAAAAGAACTAAAAGAAGGTTATTACAGCAAATATGCTAATTAGCATTTGGCTTCATGGTATCTCTCCTTTTCTCTTGGTTTCTTTTTCATTGTCCAGCTGTTCTGAACATTTTACCATTTCCTCACTACACTGTTGTCTCTTGATATTACATGAACATACCACTTAGTGCTTGCTATCATCAGAGTATTTACATTTATACAATGAATTCCCTTTGTTAAAAGTAGGAAACCATGCCTTTTTTTGTTAGTGCCTGTCACCTAAGGGCACTTAGAATGAAATTCTTAAAGCAACAGTTTTAGAGCCCATAATTTTTAGTTTAGAGACAAGTCTATAGCCTCAACCTAAGGAGAAGAGAATTCCACTGTTATAGTCATGTGATAGTCATCATTTTTAGAACACTACATAATGAGTTAAAGGAGACTCTTAGTCAAGCATTTGAAAGCTGTCTTTTACTTTGACTTTATCTTGTTCCTTAATCCTTAGGAAGGTTGCTGGCTTGGATTTTGCTGCTGTTGGTGGTGATGTTTTTTGTTTCTTTGAGACAGGGTCTCTGTAACTCAGGTTTCCTTGGAACTCCTTTCTTGCCCTATGGAGTGCTAAAATTGCTAGGTTTATAGAATAGTGTGAACATGGTCCCAGTTAAACATGAGGTGGCTGAATGTCATGGTGTACAGTCATAGATACCATAGAGATAGAAGTTTTACCACAAATGCTATGAAGTCTGTATTCTAATGCATGATCATTTGAAAGGTTAACTAAATGTGCAATAAGAAAAAAAATATTCTTAGTCTAGAGAAACACTCAATATGTACTTAAGGTATATGATTTTACTTCAGGGTTCTTTTTTGTTTTGTTTTTGTGTGGTGCTGGGACTTGAACTCAGGGCCTGGGTGCTGTCCTTGAGCATTTTTGCTCAAGGATAGCACTCTACCACTTGAGCCACAGCTCCACTTTTGGCTTTTTGTTGGTTAATTGGAAATAATAGTCTCATAGATAATATCAAACTGTGATCCTCAGATCTGGGCCTTCAGAGTAGCTAGGATTATAAGCATGAGCCACTGGCACCCGGCTTTAATTCCACAATTTTTTTTTAAACTTGCAGTCTGACCTTTAGGATTTTAAAATTAATGCTGACTAAAAGGATAGCAATAGATACTTGGGAGGGGAGGGGAGGAGGACTTGTTTGGAGCTGTGCTGTTTTGCCTTAAACCTTTTTGCAAGTGATCTAGTGTTAGAGGCAACCTTGGACACTCATCTGTTTTATGTTTATAGTTAATTTTTCTTTCCAGTCTCTGCTAACTCATCAAGTGCTAGAAAAATCTAGACTGTCCTTCATTAGGCATAATTCCTCATATTGGTGTGGCTAGCCATGAACTATCCTTTTCTTCTCCCTCTTTTTCCCAGATATCTCCCGGGGCCAATTCAGCACCTCTGCCTGGCCATCCTAACAAGGTGATTTGTGAAAGGGTGAGACTTCAGAGCCTGTTTCCTCTTCTCCCAAGTGATCAGAACACTACAGTTCAAGAGGATGCTCACTTCAAAGCTTTCTTCCAGGTTCTTATATATTTACCCTTTCCCTACATAGGGCTGAAAGTAACAGATGCATTCTAGATTGCTTCTAGGGAGGCTTAAAAAAGAATTCTTAATACCATCTTCTTATTTTGTAATGAGAATAAGTATTCTTCTTACAGGACTTCTTCAGTGTAACTTTCAGTCAGCTTTTCTGAAGAACATTTGTCTTCCTCTTGAACTACTGTTAATTATCTTAATTTGACTTAATATTCTTGTTTTTTTTTTTTTAACATTTCGTCTTTATTACTTGTCTTAGTAAAAGAATTTCTATAGAAAAATAGATGATACCAAATATGTGAAGGTTTGTTTTTGTTTTGTCCGTTATGGGGCTTGAACTCTGGGCTAGACGCTGTTCCTCAGCTCTTCAGCTCAAGGCTAGCACTCTACCATTTGAGCCACAGTGCTACTTCCAGTTTTCTGAGTGGTATTGGAGATAAGAGTCTCACAGACTTTCCTTCCCCGCTTTGAACCTAGATCTTCAAATCTCAGCTCCTGAGTAGCTAGGATTACAGGTGTGAGCCAACAGCATTGGGCGAATATGTGAAGTTTTTAAGAAAGGAAAAATGAAAGTGCATAGGCATTTTTTACAGCCATTGCTACTTACTTGCTTTTAGTGCCTAAGTTTCACAGTAATATTTTTCTGAGAGAAAATGTGGTTCTATTTGCCTTTGCCTATTTTGAGATCTATAGACAAAATGTAACCTGATTTATTTTAAGACAAAAGCAAGCTGAAAATAGATTAAAATAAAACTATCATTAGGTTATTAACAAGAATTCTCAGTTGTGTTCACATAAATCATCACTACTAATTTTCTAATTCGTAGTCTTAAGAGAAGAAGGTTTTAGTAATGGACGTCACTGTTGCTATTAACACAGAATAAACCAAATTTATAGAATTGCTCTTGGATGGTAAGCTTGTGTTTGTATATATATTAACCTAAGGTGTTAAGATAGTTCATAAACAAGACTAGATCTTTCAGATAGAGGTAGCTCATTTTCTGTTTGTGTAGGAGTGACAAACCTGACTTAAAAGGGAAAGGATCTGGCACATTGTTGGACATGTGAAATTTCTGGGGTACTTGCTTAGGTCATCCAAGGCTCTTTAATCTTGTGTTTTGTTAGTATTATGCTGGTTCTTTGCTTTGCATGTATTAAGTGGGTTTTTTGGTTTGGTTTGGTTTAGTTTGGTGGTGCTGGGTTTTAATATAAGGCCTCACTCTCCTAAGAAGTAACCATTCTGACCACTTGAGGCATATAAACAGCCACAACAACAAACAAGCACTAGTTCTAGATAAGGAGATAGGTTTTGAAAAGCTCACCAAGAAGCCCAGTGATTTCCAGTTATTGATGGAACAGGGATTCAGATCAGACCTTTATCTGTATCTTGTCTACTATACATATTCTCTAGAAACCAACAAGTATTTATGCAGCACACATGTTGTAAATTCTTAACACTTAACCCTGTGTTAAGAGGCATCGCTATCTGTATTGAATTGTATGGCATATTGACCATTTTGATTATAGCTTCAGTCTGCATGCAATAGCACATAGATAAGTAATATTTGACAAAAGGGCTTAATTCTTACGATTCTTACCAGTAAATACTTATTTTTACATTTTCTATGTTTTCTGAATTCCCTTTGAGACTTTTTTTTTTTAATTTAATTTTATTTTATTTGAGAACATACTGTACAGAGGGGTTCCAATTACATGGGCAGGATAATGCATACATTTCTTACCAAGCATTGCAGCCTCCTCCTTTGTTTACCCTTCACCTCCCTTCCCAGCCCCTCCCTCCCCCTCACCCAATCCTTCTCCCCCCCACCCCCACCCCCACCCTTTGAGACTTTTAAGCATTAACTCAACATTAACTTTCAAATTTAGAAAGTAGCTACCAAATGCTGTTTCTTCTGGGGTTTTGATTCTGGTGATGAATCCATGCTCTTAAATGCATTAAGGATGTGTTTTACTTCTGAGTTATACCCTCTAGCTCCTGGGTTTTAACAAAAAGTAAAAAGAATTACTGTTGCTAGGCACTGATGGTTCTTGCCTCTAATCCTAGCTACTCAAGAGGCTGAGATTTGAGGATCCCTGTTCAAAGCTAGCCCAGGCAGGAAAGTCTGTGAGACTCTAATCTCCAGTTAACCACCAAGAAAACCCAGAAGTGGAAAAATGGCTCAAATGGCCTACCCAAGAGCACAAAAGCTCAGTGACAGTGCCCAGACCTTGAAGTTCAAGCCCTAGGACCAGCACCCCTCCCCCTGTCAAAAAAGGTATTACCATTAAGTGTGTTTTTCTTAGTATTAATTTAACAAATGTTTTCACTAACTTTAGAACAAGGCTTTTACTGTACTTTAACTGTACCAGGGATTTTTTTTTTGGGGGGGGGGAGGGAGTCCGGTCATGGGGCCTGAACTCTGGGCCTGGGCGCTGTCCCTCAGCTCTTCAGCTCAAGGCTAGTGCTCTACCACTTGAGCCACAGCGCCACTTCCAGCTTTTTTCTTTTTGCTTATGTGGTGCTGAGGAATCGAACCCAGGGCCTCATGCATGCAAGGCAAGCGCTCTACCACTGAGCCACCTTCCCAGCCCATGTATGAGGGATTTTCTTTAATCAGTTACTCCCCTACCACTGCTCTGCATTAAAAAAGTAGACCTTTTGAGTTACTGATATCTCAACTAATTCTCAAACCAAAATTGGGGATAATTTATTAGTTTCAGCTATACCTCTTACCTTTAACTGGTAATAATGGGGATTGAGGTAGATCTTGGAGTTGGTTATCAAGCACTGTACCACTTGAGCTATGTCTCTCAGCCCCTTTAAAAATTGGTTTTGTGATTCGGGCCTGTAATCCTAAACTTTAGGAAACTAGTAAATGTTGTGAGTTCAAAGCTAAATTTGGTTAGGCCACTTTGAACTACAAAGTGATACCTTGTCTCAAAAACAAATTAAAAAACCACCAAAAACAGAAAAATTATTACTGCTGGGCACTGGTGTGTGTAATCCTAGCTACTTCCAAACTTTTTTTTTTTAATGTCAGTCGTGGGACTTGAACTCCGGGTCTGGGTGCTGTCCCTCAGCTCTTAAGCTCAAAGGTAAGCACTCTACCACTTGAGCTACACAGCCACTTCTGGTATATTGGTGGTTTATTGGAGATAAGAGTCTCATGAAGTTTCTTGCCCAGGCTTCCTTGAACTGTATTCCTCAGATCTCAGCCTCCTGAGTAGCTAGGATTACAAGCATGAGCCATCAGCACCCCGCTGCTTCTGAAGTTTGAGGCTTGTGGTTTGAAGCCAGCCCAGGCAGGAAAGTCTTAACTGTTATCTCCAATAACGACCAAAAGGCTGAAAGTAGAGCTGTGGTTCAAGTGGTAAGAGTACCAGCCTTCAGCAAAAAAAGCTAGAGGACAGCACCCAAGACTTGAGTTCAAGCCCCAGTACAGGCATTACCACTACCACCACCCTCCAAAAAACAACTTGATTACTACATGAAAAGGAAAATTTACCCAAGCCATTTCCTTTGCTTGGGAAAAAACAACCTTAATGTGTTTTGTGCTTTCTTGTCCTTGGCCTAACCCAAGTATCTTCCTTATAGCTCTACTTCCCTTCCTTTTAGATTAACTGTTTTTGTTCATTTTATGCAGACTTAACCTTACTCTTGCATTACAGACTTAACCTTACTCTTGCATTTTTTTTTTTTTTTGTAGTACATCCTTTCTGTTTCCTTACCTTTGGTAAAACTCTTTGAGAACTCCCTCAGCATCCTTTTCTAGGGATTAAAAAAAAATTTACCAGTTCTTATCCCACTGTAAGCATGAGCTTGCCTGAGTATGGCTTTGACTTTGTCTCGGAAGTAGAGTAGTTATGGAAAAAATAGAAAGTGTTAATCTTCTGGGTCCTTACTGTTGTTTCTGACTTCCAATCTTCTCACTGAACAAAAAGCTTGTTTCTGAGCTATTTTGTCATTCATACCCAGTTTACTAATGTTGTCACCTTTTACTAAAAACTTCTGTGCTTCTTTTAGACAATATTGTATTAATCCCAGTCAGGCCTCTGTAAAAAGAAAAAAGAATTTTTCATGCATTAGTTTTCAAATTATAAACACCATCCAAACTAACAAATTCAACCATTACCAATACTTTCAAACCTCCTATATGGCATTTTATCTTATATATACCTGCTGTCCTATATCTGTGTCTGTATATCTGTGTTTTAGGTTAAATCACTGGTTAGTATCCTTTTGAATTTTTGTCTGGTTTTGCTGCATATAATATGCTGTATTATTTAATTTTATTTCTGAACTTAAAGTAGATTATATACTTCATGCACTTTGTTGTTGTTGTTGTTGTTGTTTTTGTGCCAGTCCTGGGGCTTGAACCCAGGGCCTGAGTACTAGTGCTCTACTACTTGATCCACAGCTCCACTAATAGCTTTGTGTGCATGTGTGTGCATGCACTTGCACACTTAATTGGAGATAAGAGTCTCATAGATTTTTCTGCACAGGCTGGATATGAACCACAATCCTCAGTTGTCAGCCTCCTGAGTAGCTAGGATTTTCAGGCATGTGCCACTGGCATCCAGCATGTACTTTTTCTTTTTGAAACCCATTTCTATTCTTGTTTGTGGCTGTTATTTGATTCATTTTAGTGCTCTTCTACTGTATTTTTTTTTTTTTTTGGTCTGGTTGTGGGGCCTGAACTCTGGGCCTGGGCGCTGTCCCTCAGCTCTTCAGCTCAAGGCTAGCGCTCTACCACTTGAGCCACAGCGCTACTTCCAGCTTTTTTTCTTTTTGCTTATGTGGTGCTGAGGAATCGAACCCAGGGCCTCAGGCATGCAAGGCAAGTGCTCTACCACTGAGCCAACTTCCCAGCCCCTACTATGAGTATTTTTAACGGACATTTAAATTGTTTTCTTGCCCCCTCTCCCCCAATTCCTTTATTAAGAAATAATAAAATTTGCAAGGTTCAAGTGGAGGGGAAACAATA